GTGGTCTGGGCATTTATTTAGAATTAGCTTAGGTACAGGTACTCCCTTATCATTTCTCACATGATTATTTAACAATTTTTGAGGGCAGGACTTTGGTTTTACTTATCTTTGTACAGAGAATCTTATACACAAATGTTCCATAAACATTTGTTGCTTGATTGGAACCAAAGCCAGATAAATTAATGAGTTCTTTGCCTTCTGGAGTCTTAGCATGTATTTGGTTGGGACACATGCATTTGCTGATATTCAATTATTTTTGACCTATAAAAATGGCAATTGCATATGGTTCAACCTAATAAAGGTTTATATCATAATTTTAGGCTGAACCAAAAGTTGGCCTGTAGGCTGCTGAGTTAACTCAGACTCCAGGATTTTCTTGGAACCTGATACATGCATTTTCAGTAATCAACACCTCATTGAAAGCCTAACTGTAAGTTCCCTTTAAGTCATGCTGAATTAAACCCTAAGCCGAAGCATGGAGTAAAGATCTAAATATTAAAACAGAAACACTAAATCAGCTGGAAGAGAGGTTAGGTAGAACTCTTGAAGATACTGGCATAGGAAAAGATTTCATGAACAAAACCTCAGTTCCCCATGAAGAAGCACAAACAATTAACAAGTGGGATCTTTTCTTATTAAAAACCTTCTGCACAGCAAGAGACACTGCCAACAGTGTGAAGAGACAACCCACAGTGTGGGAAAAATTTTTTACCAGCTATTCTTCAAAGGTCTACTATCTAGAATATATAAAGAACTCAAAAAAATCAGACCTCCCAAATTTAAAGACCCAATCCAAAAATGAGCATCTGAAATGAACAGACATTTCTCAGACAAAGAAGTAGAAATAGCAAATGAACATATGAAAAAATGTTCATTGTGGGTCATTCAAGAGATGCAAATGAAAACAATGCTGAGATTCCACCTCACCCCAGAAAGAATGGCTGCTATCATGAAATCAACCAATAACAAATGCTGGCGGGGCTGTGGGGAACAAGGAACCCTACTCCACTGCTGGTAAGAGTGTAGACTGGTGCAACCTCTGTGGAAATTAGAATGGAGATACCTCAAAGAACTAGGATTGGAAGGCCCGTTTGACTGAGCTATTCCTCTGCTGGGTATCTTCCCCAAAGAATTAAAGGAATCAAATCACAGCGATATATGTGCACCCATGTTCAGAGCAGTACAGTTTGTAATAGCTAAAACTTGGAAACAGCCCAATTGTCCATCAACTGGAGACTGGATAAAGAAAATGTGTTTTTAAAAAATAAAATGGAGTACTACTCAGCCATAAAGAATAAGAAATTAGAGACATTTATAGCTAAATGGATGCACATTGAGGTGATACTCAAGTGAAATAAATAGGACAGACGGGTAAATACCAAATAGTTTCTCTGGTGTGAGAAACTGAAAGTGTAAATAAGGATCAAAAGGCATAATAGATAATGTGAAATAGGAAGAAAAGGTCAAAAAGGGAAGGGGAAGTGGGAGGGGTATGGGAAAGGAAAGAAGGGAATGGAATTAATATGAGGAAATGAAAAAATGGAAACAAAGTCTTTGTACATAGGGAGGGATGGAGGGGTTGAAGGGAGGGCAGGGGAAGGGGGATAAATAAGAACCAAGATACATTATGTAAAGGTATGAATTTCCAATGATGAATGTCATTACATTGTATACCTAAAATGTACCAGTAAAATTAAGTTTTAAAAAGCCCATAAGCCAAAGCAATGATAATTTTCACAGAACCACTCAAGAGAGCAAAATAAACCCCTGATCAATCAAACAACTCATTGAGACAAAAAGCAGTATTTATTAGGGTCTCTGCCCCAGTCTTTAGTCTTTGCCCTAATTTCCTGGGATTTAGCCAAGCATTAGTGAAGGCCTCTGGCTTCTGATTTGGTCTTTGTAGCTGAGAACCTAGGAAAGAAAATTTTCACCTCAGTTTCAGCTCAGCAATAGTCCTGAAGACTAGGAACCTCCACGTAAAACATCTTAGTGGTGAACAGGAGATGCTCCCAAGGCTCGGTAGCCTCTTAGTGGCCTCCACCTGGAGAGACATAGGAGGCAGGGAGGAGGGAGGAGGGAGGTGTGGCTCGCTGTGCTCTGGAGTCAGCTCTGTCCCAAGCACTGACCAGCTGTGCACATTTTATTTACTGTTCTAGCTTCAGTTTTCCCTGCTGCAAATGGGATTCCTCTTGCTTGGCACATAGTGTGGCACATAGCTGGTCCTCGATAGCTTCCAGTCACCACTTTTATTGTTAACTTACTGCTTCTGTGTCGGCAAGTCATAATTCATTCATCAAAACCCTTAAGAATATGGGACTGAGGAGTACAGAGCCTGAGGCTGTTTAAAAAGACAAAGTAGATTTACAAAGAGACCCTTTAAATAGCTTTGTGTTTAGTTCAAATTTGTTTTTAAATTGACAAAATTGTGTATATTTATGGTGCCTCTCAGTTTTATACATAGGAATCTACTTCCCAAATATTTGGCATATTAGAAAGTCAGTGTAGCAACATTGTAAAGTCTCAAGATGGAGTGAAGTGAAAGAAGACACTCTTCTATCCGCCCTCCAGTCCTTGTGGAGTGCTGATTGGCATGGGGGCAAGGGCAGGATTTGGGTAATTTAGCAGCACAGTACTTTGCAGTTTATGACCCTTTTGTGAATATTCAAGTCCTAAAGTCAACTGCGTGAATTCTTTTCCTTCTTTCATCAGAATTTAATAGTGTCAACAATTACTGTTAATGAGAAGCTTTGAAATATTCTAGGCCCTATGATTTGCACATTTTATCTCATTTAATTCTGGCAACAGCCTCTAAAGTGGGAACAATGGTTCACTGTTTTATATTGATGGGAGACTAAGGCACGGAGAGATTTTGTAACCTGTCCAGGGACACACAGCGAGTCTTTGTTCTTAATCATGATGCAGTCTGCCTTGTACAAGGCACAAGACCTTCCTGAGCAATCATTTTTCAATTAAGGGTCTTCTGTGTGTGTGCATGTACTCATGCACACCACAGTATAATCTAGAGCAGTGGTGACAAACCTATGGCATGCGTGCCACAGCAGGCTCTTTGTTATCATCGAAAGCTCTGAAAAGTTTGCTATCACTGACCTAGAGCATACAAATAAAAAGTATTTGTGGGATGGACGCATGCCAGGCTTTGTACAAAATGCCAAGGACACAATAATGAATAAGACAGATCCAGTCCTACACTTAAGGAGCTCACAGGTTAGGAGGACACAAATGTTAACACCCAAATGTAGCTAGAGCTCTGAATAAGTAAAATTTATCTGTTATTAGATGGAAATAAGGGTGCTGGCAAGCTGGCTAATGGAATATATATGGTACATTAGTGTGCATTCCATGAAATTTACTTCTCAAGCCTGTTCCAACATCTGAGATGCTCAAAATTTGCTGAACATGTGCTTCAACAGTGTGTAGAGCTGGAGTGATGGAATGGACGTTTCTCCTGGAGATCCTTGTTTTAGCATTAGAGATCTTGCTGACCTCCATGGTTTCCAACTAGCTTCCAGAAAATAAAGACATCAAGGAAGAAAGGAAGGAAATGGGGGGAGAGAAGACAAGCTCTGTTCTGTGAGAAAGCAGTCTTGATAAGAATGTGACAGCCAGGCCTAGTGAGTAGGGATATGTCACACCCATCAACAGAAAGTGTGGCTTGGAGATGTTAACAGTAACGGTGACACTTGCTATTATTTCTTGATCCTTAAGCTTTGCATGTGTTTTACCATTTAATGCTGAACTTTATGAGGCTACTACCACTGTTGTCATTTATAAATAAAAAGGCAGACCAGGGTGGGGATTTAGCTCAGTGGTTCTGCCACCTGCCTCGAAAGTGGGAGGTCCTGAGTTCGATCCCTGGTACCAAACAAAAAGAAAGAACAGCAAGGTTGAATAAGTTTTCCAGCATCACACAGCTAGCCAGTCATAAAGATGAGCTTTTGCCTTTGCCTGGCTACCTGTTACACTGCCTTTATTACTGGGCATTTCCTTGCTCTGTCAATACTGATGCTCTCTGTTCAGACAGTCAAGTCAGAGTGGAATACCTCATGTCCTAGATGTACTTGGTGTATGCTCTCTTCTGTGCCTCTGTTCCACCTCACCCCTTCCTATGCCCATCATGGGGTGCTAGATTGGAATTCAGGCTGGGCACAAACTAGCTGGCTCTTAATACCTATCTGACTCTTGTGTGGCGTTTGGTATTGATTCATTCAACACTGACGGGTGTTACTACTTTCTCTTTTCCATGAATTAGTCTCATCAACCAATCCAGGTATAACTAACAGGTGGTAAAAACAGAGTCAGGATTTGAACCCAGTCTGATTCCAGCCTATGTTCTTTAGCTCTGTCCTTCTGTCCCTCCTCTGAGCCACTCGGCTGTTATCACCTCTCTGGGTCTGCTTCCTTATCTGTACTGTGAAGTCAGAGCACTGACCAGTTCCACCCCAGCTTTGAGATGATAAAATCTATGAAATTCCAGTAGTTTTTCCTGTTCCATCTCCTGATTTGTTACTCTAGGACAGCCTTTCAAAAGTGGCTTCAGGATGCTCAACCCATGATATGTCAAGTACTCTAGATTCTGAGGCCAAATGAGTTGGGGAGCCCTCCTGTCCCACGTTTTGGGAGTTGATGATGTAGTTAGCCCATTGTTGAGAGCATTACAGTATTTTAAGGAACACACTTGGCTTCTACCCTAACTGTCTCGTTCCTCCTCCTCCTCATCTGCCTGGCTGTAGCAACAAAAAAATGATTCCAGATATTGTTAAATGTCCCTTGGGGGGCTTGACTCCCCCTGGTTGGGAATCTCTGCTTTAATCCCACTTCAAAATTTTATTTGATCATATCTTTCTTTCCACTCCATTTTATTTTTATTTGAAAATCACTTACAGCCTGTGTTTCTATAGCACAAAGTTCCTTTGAATATACTTTGGGTTTTAATGCTTTAGTCAAAAGCAACTGATATTTCTTTTTAAATTCTGCAGGTGCCTTGTGCAGACTGTCATGTGTTACAACACTTACAGATGTGACTCCACCTCCTGTGAGCCTCTGAGAAGGTGCAGATGACTAGAACAATGATCATGGTCTCAGAATCTGGAGAGAGCTTTGAATTCACAGGTAAGAGAGAGGGTTGAGGAAGGGTTAAGAAGAAAACTAACTTTAGAGAAACCTAAAGCTAAAACTACATTTGTTACAACCGGGACAAAAGCAGAAAGCATGCAGTGAGCTGTCATGGGCTCTGGCGATGAAAGGAGAGATGTGAGGTAAATCACAGGTACAGACTGGTCCTAGAGTGGCCCCTTCCTTGGGACCCCACCCTGGACACTGCACAGGGACTCCTGCTCATGTTGGAGGGACAGGAGTGGACCCAAGGCCACTGAAGCTGATCTTGATGGCTTCTTCACACAGGGTTCCATTTGCTACGGTTGCTAAGTGTGCAAGTGGTTCAAGCTCAGAGGGCTGGGTTTAAAGTCCCAGCTCTGTTGCTAATAAATGATACAGCCATGAACAAATGGCTTTACTCCTTCCAAACTTCATTTTACTGATGTGTAAAATAGAGATAATAGTAGTACCTGCTCTCTAGGGTGACTGTGAGGACAGATGAGTGCTTTCACGTCAGCAATTAGCAAAGTGCATGTGTCCGGAACAATAGGGAAGGTATCAGTACTGCAGAAATATGCGCTGCTTAAGGCAAGCCTGGTATGAAGAGAATTCAAAGCCTAAAGTGTTTTTCCATCTGTGCCAGATAGTAAGAGCTACCAGTTGTTACATCGAGTCTTCTTTCTGACTGGGCTCTAACACAGACACACAGTAGGTTGTCTTGAGACTGTCACTTGAGAGATTACCCTCCTTGGCATAAGTAGTGCTCACTTCAATGTCATCACCACCCTGGTTTCAATGACTTGGGCAGATGAGAGGGAGAGCACAGGAAACAAGCCAGGGGGATGTGAAAGTCTGTTCATGATGCAAACAGGAACGGACTCAGAATCGTGCATGGGGTTTTAAATTGCTCACTTCTGCTGACATCTCTGCTATGGAGATGCACAGCTGGCATGCCTTTCTGTTTGGAGACAGGGTTGACAATTTCCCCATAATGGGGATACAACTGGCAATTTTCCTACAGAGTGAGGCAGATGGCAATTTTCCTTCAGAGATATACAGGCAACAGTTTTGCCCCTGGAGAGAAAAGGCTTGCCGATTGAGATGCAGCCAGTAATTTTTACTATACAGAAGACATATCTAATAATTTTGCCCAATGAGAGAAACGGCTAACAATTTTCCCAAGGAGGGTAAGAACTCCCTTCAACTGACAATGCTGGCCTTTATCCAGTGAAGGACGGTGAGAGAAGGGGCTTAAGATTTAATTAGTGGCTACTGTACTACCAGGGGCCCAGTGGCAAAGTCTCCAGACATGAGCTGGAGACTGGGAGTTTAGATCATATAAGACCCAGATGGAGGACATGGAATTGGGAAACAATAAAGCCCAGTCACCTAATCCTTGCAGTTTGCTTTTCTTGTACCCTTCATTAATGCCACAAACAACTGCTTGGCAGTGAACCATGTAGCAATGTGATGCTTTGAGAATGATGGAGAAGGAATAGTAAATCTAGAAATGAAAATGAAAAGGGATGAGGTACCCAGTGGTAGAGCACTTGTTTAGTATGTACAAGGCCTGGGTTCAGTTCCAGAACTCAGGGGTCAGGGGAGGAGTTGAGCCTTAAGCCCTCAATAATCACTGGCCACATCAGAGGTTAGTAAACATTTTAGACTCTGAAAGCCATTTGATCACTTTGGCAACAATTTAGCTGTCTTTGTTGCATGAAAATGGCATAGATATAAGTAAATGGATGGGTACTAGGTTTAGCTTTCAGACACTAAAATTTTAATTTTATACAATTTTTATATGTCACAAAATAATATTCTTTTGATTTTTTTTTCAACCACTTACAGATGTAAAAACACTGTTCTTCACTAGAGCCATTCATTCAAAAGCAGGGGACAGATCATAGGTTTGGCTGGAGATCATAGTTTGCTGACCCCTGATGATGGTATTTGGGGTACATCCTAGGATAGAAGGGAAATCAGCCTGAGATAATAACATGCACTTTGGGGAACAGTGGGACCCTAAGACTGGGAGCACAGAGGAATTATCACAGGCGGATGAGAACATTGGTTAACAAACTACAAAATGCTTTGCTCAGGTATATCTCAGGCTGTTCAGGAAAAGGTAATGGACTTTGGTGTCCGATTTTTTTGGCCCAAGGCTCATGCTCCATCATTTACAGGCTGGAGTGACTATCTCTTACTTCCTGAGATTCAGCTTCATTGTCTTTAAAATGTAGATTGCAATAACCATGTGACATGGCCATGAGAATAAAATTAAAGATAAGACATCTAGCACAATGCCTGGCATATGTCAGAAGCTACCAAGCACAGTGCTAGTGCCTAACACTCTTTAGCCAATAAATACTGTGCACTTGATGGGCATAAGTTACTTTGATACATGCTGAGGTCGTAAGAGTAAGCAAGAAAGATAAGGTCACCCTGTATACCTTCAACAGAATGAACCTACTCCATCTTGGCTGGGGGACCCTCTCAATTCTCATAGGAAGGAAAGTTGCTCATTTTCCCTTTTGACTTCCCCTAAGATATCCAAACCCTAATCCCTAAACTTGTGAATATTTTGTATTGCGTGGGAGGGGGGAATTAAAGTTCTTAATCAGTTGAGTGTAAGATGAGGAGATGATGTTAGATTACCTGGGTGGCCCCCCTGCAATGTCAAAGGTCCTTATAACAAAGAGGGAGGATAGGTCAATGTCAGAATGACTCAATATGAGAAAGACAAGAGCAGCCATTGCTACTTTTGGAGATGGTAGGGGGCCATGAGCCATGGGATGCAGACATCCTCTAGAAGCTGGAAAAGCTGAGTCAACAGACTCTCCTGTAGGACTTCTAAAAAGGAACACCACATTGCTTTTACCCTGGCTCTGGTGTCACAAGACCCATGCCAGACTTCTGGTTTCCAGAACTCTAAGATAATAAGCATGCATTTTTAGGTCACTGAGTCCATCATATCTGTGGTAATTTGTCATAAAGATTAAAAACCACAATCCCCTCTCCCTCCATATCATCAACAAAGGGAAGGGGCAGAGTTGATGAGGTCTCCCTCAACTCTGCAAAGTTGCTTCAATTTCTCTAGGTCCTAGTGCCAGCTGCCTCTCTTGTGAGTCCCCTAAGAGTCCATTCCCTTTCAGCAGCTGTCTCTCCACAGCTGGCCATAGGAAGCTGACCAGAACAGGCTGCTTCCGGGCAAGGGCTGTGATAGGGCCGCTGCTTCCAAGGGATCTGGTGAGCCATCTCAGCTCAGCAACCCTCTGCTCCATCATGCCTGCTGCTGCTGTGCCCATGTCTGCTGACCCAGTTCAGGGAGAGCAGAGCACAGCTGCTGCAGATGTAGCAGCCCAAGCACTCTGAGGCAATCAGGGCATTGCAGCAGAATGTGAAACTGCATGCTGCCGTGCCACATCCTGGGTGAATCTTCCTGAGCACTCCCCACTGCCAACAGCCACAGACCCAGCTGCCTTGCCTGGTACCCAGTGCCCTCCTAGCAGGCCCTAGGTCAGCATGCCAATATCCCTGCACACTTCTCTTCTGCTCCCACACTCCACCAGGTTTGCCTGGCTCACTCATTGTCTGCTTCTAGGCCAGAGAAGCCCTGCTTCTAGGACCAGGCAGGGAGGGAAAAGGGCAGAGCATGCACAGGTAGCCCACAAGGAATGGTGGGACTATGGCAAACAAGTGTCCATGCTCTGTACAGGGACAATTCCCATTTCTCCTCAGCTCTAGACTGCATGCTGCCAGGCAGGAATGTGGCTCCAGCATAGCTATACTGTGTCATTTGTGAAGTCTAAACTTTTTTGAGTTTTCAACTGATACTCTGAATGATGATGATGGAAGTTTATGGAGTGTTTGGAGATGCCAGGATTCAGTCCATACTTCCCTATCTGGCCCTGCCCTCCTGTTTCTCTGACTCCCATCCAACCTTATAGGGCTCACTGCTGCTTCCAGAAAAAACCACATGGCCCCCTGTACCCATTCTTTCCTTGACTAGTAAACCTGGCCACGCTTCAAATCTATTATTTTAAAAAATCTGCATCTGTTCCAGATTTACACGGAGCAAAGAAATTCCCAGTCAGAAAATGGGCTTGATAGAGAAATAACACCAGTGATAGCAATAGTACCTGACAGGACCATACAGAGGGAGAACGATCTTCATTTTATAGCTGTCTTGGAGAGTCTGGGACCCAAAGGTCCTCATGGTCCCTCACTGCTCACATCATGAGGGTTCATTATCTCCAGGGTTAGAGCTTCCTCACCAAGGAGCCTCAGCTGGGACTCATGATCTACAGAGAAGGGAAGCAAGAACCTGTGTTTGCTTATCATCAGCCTGTCAATCAAGAGGCTGGCTTTGGGTAACATCCACAGCAAGTTCTTTCATTATAAGTCTGTTTATCCTCCTTTGGTAAAGAAAAATCGTTTATTAGCCAAGCAGAGTCAGTGCTTGAGCGCTGCTGTTCTGGAGAGTTCTGAGGGAAGGAGTTCTCTGACACATTCTCTCCAGCAGGCAGCGGTGAAGGGAGGCAGCTCCAGCACAGACAGGATGAGGAGCTGGCAGTGGGCGTCTCCATAGGAGCCTAATGAAAAAACCTGGTGACAGCGGGGCCTGGCTTTACAAGCGCTCTTATATAGTCCTTTGCTCTGTTCTCTCCCTCTCTGCAAGGTTGGTGAGTGGCCAAGGTCTCTGTGGGTCTGATAGAAATACATGTTCCCTGGGCAGTGGGCTCCAGGAACGTGATGGCAGTGGCCCCAGATCCCTGGGCCCCAGCACACAGGTTAGGGACTCAGGGCCTCCTGCTTTCTCTCCTCTCCCTGAGACAGTGCTCTCTGTCTTCCACACTCCCTCCTCCCCTCTGTCTTTGATAATTTGTTCCCAACAGGGAGCTTTGTACAGCTGCTCCTAGAGAAGCCAGAGCTCCCGGGGGAGCCTCTGCCCAGGTGGAAGAGACTTCGAGTGAGTGGCCGTTATTAGGGGTGATTGCCGGGAAGCTGGTTGTCATGGCACCGCAGAGGCTAGGGCTGCACTCCAAGCTGTCCCTGTTTCCCAGGCTGTACACATAATCACTGCTACCAGAGCCAGACACACACAGGGGGAGACAGGAGCAGCTCCCTGCTGACAGCAATCTCCTCGCAGGGCAAGGTGAGCAGTTCATGCTGAGTGGGCTGGTCCTTCTCCACATGGGCTGAGCACTGTGTGGGGAGGGACCCTGGTGTGGGCTGGGCACTGCTCCAGTGTCTTCTCCTGGCTCCTGTGTTATGTGTCTCTGTCCCCAGCACTGGTTTTCTACAGGAACACATTGCTCCTAGTGCACTGGAAGTCAGACCTGTATCTTGAGGGATCCTGGAGTGGCACAGAGGAAGAACATGTGTCGGAGTACATGGAGTGATGGCTTCTTCTCCTCCTGGTGCTGAGCTAAACTCTTTCTGCAGTCATTTGCCTTAGGCCATAGGCTAAGAGGCAGAGGGAGGATGTGAACTGAGCTTTGGCTTTCCAGCCTACTCCTGTCTCTTGTAGAACATCATTGCTCCTCCTCTGATTAGAAAGGGTAACCCCTTCAATCTGGTACTCAGGACAGATGTTGGGAACCCCATATCTCTGAGGGTATGGCCCCAGGAAAATAAACTTGGACCAGTCCAAGTCTTAGATCTCTGACATGGGCTTTATCATCTCTGCTCTCACTGACTACAGAGAATTAGCCAGGGTGGGGCTGTCTCTTTGTGGAGCTAAGGCACCGGGAGCAACATGGACAACAGCCCTGTTGACCCCCTACCTGTGTGGCACTCCTGCTGGCTCCAGACATGCCACCATCATGGGCTCACCTTCCCCTTCATGATGGCTGTGTTCTGGTGCAGAGAGAGGACACATTTTACAGCCCCTGCAGAAAACAAAGGTCTTGTTCCTTAACAAGCTCTTTTGCTCAATGACTTTGGCCATGGGGAAGGATGGACAGTCTCTGTCACCCTTTCTCATTTTGTGTTTGGCTGCAGAGAGCCAGCAGCTCTCCAGTCTGCACTGCTGCTAACATACTTCCTTCAATGCCCCAGGCCCGGCCTCAGCAAGCTCTGGAGACACATGGATCCGTGGTTTGTGGAGTTCCTGAAAGTCACACTCTTCCAGGGAGATGCTTGTGCTGTCTGTGCTCTCCCTGCCTTACCTAGGTACCTGGCTCACCTGGCTGCCTCTTCCTCAGACCTAGAGAGGCAAAGACGGGGCACGCTTATGGGAATTAACTATGAACAACATTTGACCATGGGTTTGAATCTAGCCTCTACCTCTTACTAGACTTTGATGCTGTATAAGTTACTTGCTCTCTGAGCCTCGATTTTTCTCATCTTTGACTCTGAGCTGATGGATTGTTATGATAACAACATAGTAATAAATACTGAATGCTTACAGTGGGCCAGGAATCATCTCACTGAATCTTCACAAGCAGCCACTAATTCAGGCTCCATTATTGTCCTCATTTTATAGGCAATTAGACTTACAGAGGTTACGTAGAAGTTAAGTTCACATTATTCACCTGGGTTTGTTTGACGCCTCCCCCCACCCCCCAACCGAACAGGCATTCACCACTATGGTATATGTCCTCTCTCTCCAGCCTCATTAAAACCAAGTTTCCAAACCACGATTATCTCACAAATACCTCTAGCTGGCCTTTGTAATTTACCTTCATGAATTTCAGCAGAGTACTTACTCTCTGAAAGCCACCTACTGGCCAAGAGTTGTTCAGTGGGATTTGAAGTTCTCTAGGGGCTCAGGTTCTTCTTTATTGCTTCCTCTCTCTAACTCCCCACCCCACCCCCTTGATATCCTCTCTGTCCAGTTGATTTGAGGCTATCACTTCCTGCTCTGAATTGCTGGAATGAAGTTCTTGAGTTCTGGCCAAGACACAAAAGCATCAAAAGAGCACCACAAAACATGGTGATATTATCCTTAAAGTAACTTATTAAATAAAATTCAGTATTAAATGATATACTATTTTGTACAGTTTGTTATCTAGATCATACAAGTTTGTGGAAAATTTCTAGGAGAAAAATTTAATTTAGCCTGATTTTCCTGGGAGTTGGGAAAAGCTTATACTCAATGCCTTCATTTTACATTCTTGGTTTAAGAATCATAGTGCTATTATATCCTGAGACATACATGAATTTTATATGATGCTGTATCTTACTTCATTCATTTGTAGACTCAGTAAGTATGGTTTAATGTTCATGATATGCCAGATACTGTCTCATGCACTCTATTATTAATAACTTCCGTAGGGCAAACAACTATGCACTGAATTCATACCACTTTGTAATTTTGTGGTCCTACAAAGACATGAGTACAGAAGATTCTTAATAAACAGAGACTGAAAAAATGTTGTGCATGAGAACTTTTGGAAACACACAGGATATGCTGAAGATAAGGACTTTTGGTATCACTGTTCATTTCAACTGTTTGAAATATATTCAGCCTAAATGCGTTTTAGTCAGCATTTCCTTGGAATCTGAATTTCACATTCAATTTAAAATGAACTTAATATTAGAAACATTTTGTCATTTCACATCTTCTTATCCCCCATGATAAGTACACAAAGGCAGTAACTATCTTTCTGTTTCATTGTGCTCAGCACAATACTTTGTTGACATTTACTGACCCACTCCTAAGATTGACAATCCATTTTTTTATCACATAGAACTCTTCAATGTCAACTTCATTGCATTAAGATTTTCAAATGACATCAAAATTTCAGGATGTACTAGTTGACCCCAGGATTGAGGATGCCCATATACGAGACAAATCCTATTGAAAGCTTTATTTTTAGGTTAAAGATGGAAGAGAAGATAAGAGCAACTATCATTATGAGCTTTGTGGGGATGAGCATTCCACTGCCTTCTGCTATCTCTGGTCTGTGAGTGGTGACCATGGAAGCCAGCAGGTGCTCCGAGTAAGTCAGCGGATAACGGCACTTGCACTGATGGGGCTGCAAGCTGCTTGAGTGGACAGCAAATCTCACAATGGACTTATTGATGCCACCCACTGAGCTGTCAAAATAGAATTATGTGAACCACACAGGGGTCTCAAATTAGCCGATATACTTAAACATAGGTCAATTTCACACAAAGGAGATTCCCCCTTCCCTCCTCTATCTTTCAGTGCCTTGCACATACCGAGGGTGGTTGAATTCATTATATAAAGTAAGAAATAAACCCAATCATTGTCAGTGTTTTAGGCAGTCTTTTCTGGGTTTTGATTTCTTTGGCTGTTAAAAAGGAAAAAATATTATGAACTCAGAGCTTTCATGAGGATCAATGAGGATAAATGGATAAGAAAGGGCTGTGTCAACAGTAAAGGGCTAAACAGCAAAAGGTATCAATGTGATTGCTTTATGCTTTTTTTTTTTGCATGAATCTTAAGAGTCCACAGAATTTGTGAATTTCCTTTTCAAACCGACCCTTCCTTAGTCTTTGTCAACCCAGTTAACGTCCCCATTCACCTAGGCATGTACGTAGGCCACAAAGCTGGGATGAATGCTTGATTCTTTACCTCACCATCCACATCTAGATTTTAAACAAGGTCCTGTTAATGTTGCCCTCAAATCAAGGCCCAGATCTATCCAATCTGACCACTTCTATTGTCAGCATCTTAGTCCTTGCCTGGATGGACATTTCAAGAACTTCCCCACTCTTCTCCAGGCATCCACTTTCCTCTTGATGCTTCACTCTTAAATGGTCTCAGGGTGGTATATTTAATGTATAATCACCTCCCCCTTTACACAAAACTCCCTGGATTTCCCTTTCCTGTTATAATAATATCTAAACTCCTTACCGTTGCCTACAGGGCTACCACACTGCCCCACTCCCAACTTCTACGCACAGAATGCGATGTGACTGGCCCAGGTCAAGCAGGGGATGGCTCTGGTGTGGCTTCTCAAGTGATCTGGGTCAGCAGCCTGCACTCTTACTGCTCCTCAAAATGTTATCACTGGCCCTGCCATTCATCCTTCTGCCTTGACTTGCCAAGCACAGTCCAGATTCAGAGCTGCTGCTTCTCTCCCAGAAACGCTTTGCACCAAATCTCACTCTGTTTACAAGAGTGTTGTTTGATTCTTTCTCCTGGAATAAAGTGCTGCAAGGGCTGGAGGCATTATTTTCCTTGTGCCTGGAATAGTGCTAGGCAGCAATAAACATCTCTTGAATATATTAATAACAGATTATCATTATTTCATAGACTCCTTTTCCCTTTACATTGCCTGCATGTACCAAAAGTTACCTTCCATTTTTCCCACTTGAAAAATGTTGTAACTTGAGAATATGCCAAATCAGCCCGCTGCAGACAGGCAGGTCTGTGCACGCCCTACCGACGTCCTGAGTCACCCGCAAGACGCCGAATCAGCCCGCTGCAGACAGGCAGGTCTGTGCACGCCCTACCGAGGTCCTGAGTGGCACAGAACATGCCGAATCAGCCTGCTGCAGACAGGCAGGTCTGCCCATGCCCTACCAAGGTCCCCAGTTGTGCGGAATACTCCGAATCAGCCCGCTGCACACAGGAAGGTCTGTGCACGTCCTACCGAGGTCCTGAGTCGTGCAGAAGACACCGAATCACCCCGCTGCAGAAAAGCAGCCACCTGGTTCCACACTACAAAGACGCAGAGGACACCAGACC